GGATGCTATTCCATAGCAGATTGTAGAGATACGAGGTTTTGTACCTCAGGTTTGCTTGCAAATCTAAGTTCATCACTCCTGACTCTTTTTTAGGATAATTGTGCATCTGATCAAGAGAATCGCAAGCAATGTTCATGAAAAATATGCTGGAAATCAAGAGATAATAAGATTTATCTTCTTCATCATGGCAATTTTGCTGCATAAGTAGACAACCTCTGCCCCCCGGAATTTTGTTGAGAAGATTGAATTTATATGTTCAAAATCCCACGTTTATTATTGATAATCATCTTCTCATGTCTCCTTACAAAAAATTAGGTTTGAAAAACCCAGATCATTGGTTAGATCATCTCTTGAAGCTTTATATATCGTACATTCATAACACATATGCTGGAACATCTTAGTGGTAGGCATTGCAGTTGCATGATATAAAGTCGTGGGGCTTAAATCCTCCTCTTTACCTTTCTAAGGATTTTGTATTCTATGTAAGATAAAAAAAGAGGCAACATGCCCAAGTAGAGTGGAATCTAGAAAGTCAGGTTGAAATGCAAAGAGTGCTAGTCAGCATATTTTTCAAGACTCAGTCAAAATTATGGGAAGTATAATATATCTTCTGTATAAAACAGTAATTCAGCCCAAGAACTGGATAGTTTTTGGATGATTGCCGATATGGATTAGGTAATTCCAATTCTAATTGCTTGATCCAAATAAGTGATTTTTTAAACACGGAAAAATTCATGGATATTTTGTATTTATCCAATGATTTTGGGTAGTTAAAAGTGGATACAATGAAGCTTATTTGATTGGAAAAGGATAACATGAACTTTGGACCTCAAATGGCATGGAACTCATCTAAAAGATACCAATCGTTTCCCAAAAAGATCCCTTAATTGTTAGAACATGTCCACTTTGGATTAGAATTGGGGATCAACAAATCTTGATTCTTCTATGTAATTAAGTAAACTTAGTCAAGAAACTTCCACAGTGAATTTTGGTAACCTCATCAAATGATTTTCAAATCTCATTAAATTTGAACACATAGCCGATGAGGGCCTTAAAAATATACTAAACTAGGCTCCATACCAATCTGAGCTATTTTGACAAATTTTTAAAGTTACCCTCTAGTATGGCTGTGAGCAAGCTAGTTTTGCTTTTCATCTAACCAGCGCTCATCAAGCAAACTCCAACTTCTATGAAACTTGAGAAGTTAATATACAAGGTCATTCTCAACTGTGCCACCATGTGCTTAGACCATTTTGGGTTGATTTGATTGGATTTTGGAATTTCTCAAGTAAGCATCATATAGCCATATTATACCGGGGATGCATTGTCTATTCCATAAAACAATCTCCAAACTTTATGAAATTTTAATAGGTAGGCCACATGACCATCTTCAGCCTTTCCACCTAATCTCGTGTCCTTTTGAGTAGAATTGGTTGGGTTTTCGAACTGAGCTTCGATTTAGACATCATGTATCCATGTTGTACCATCCCTCAAATGATCTCCAAACCTCATGAGATTTGAACAACTAGCCTATAGAGCTTTTATTAGCTATTCGACCAAATTTTGGCTCATTTCAAACTAATTTGATTGGGTTTTTGAGTTGAGACCAGTCTTCTACAAGCAATGCTTATCTAGACCACGGCTGATGCTATGTGAGTATTGAATGACTCAAAAACTACTTAAAGTTTCCTTATAATACGGCTATCATGCATGCATGCTATAAAGGTCATATATTGAGGTTTTAGCCTTTGCATCAGAAGCTTCCAATCCTCATGCATGACTATCCTTTCTTCTAGGCTATTGATCATGAGATTCACTCCAACCTCGATACGAGATGACCCATAAACCTTTATCGGCATGGTGTATTGTGTGTGCCACATGTCCTTTGGAGCCCAAAATCCCTAAGTTTTTTGGACTCAATCAGCCCTAAGACTAGACTCCAAAGCCTAGAGAGTGTCCAATGGCACTCATTCCATTCAGGTCTAAAGCCCTCTTAAAACTAAATAGGTCCTGGATGTATCCAACCCCACTCAAACTAGAGTGTCTTTCTTTTATTTTACTAGTAACATGAGTACCCTCATGAGGCAATACAAGAGCTAAGGCATTTAATGTTTAGAAAAACCCAACAAAAAATACACCGAAGCCGTTAGAAAGTTTTAATTTTTTGAATACTGACAGCCCAAGAACATGAGGACGATCGACATGCAATCAATGGTTCGCAAATGATTGTGGTATACTTCTTGTCAAATGAAAATAAATAAAAAACTTTGTTGGGACTTGTTGTACTTACAACATTAGGAGTTCTTGCTTAGCTTTAGGATTTTTTCTGTTGCTTCGAGGTAAGGAGTCTGACTTGGTGGTTGAGAACTCCTTAGCTAAGAAGGACTTTTCTCTTTTAAAGGCTTCTAACTTTTCAATACAAAGAGATCATAATCACTCATGGCCATCATATATGAAATTTGATAGCTTCGAGTGTATCACAAAGTTCGAAAAAAATTATTTTCAACTTTGTGCTCGGTCAATGTCACCAGTTGCCCTATTTCAAATCCAACAGCCAAGATTGATTGTGATCTCTTGTACCAATAATAAATTGTTTTATTGTATATTTTCCTAGTTTTAATCGTATTCAAAATATACATTCCATCCTCTTAGTTATGGCTGTTCTCAAATTAAACTAGACAGGTGTTATGTGCTCATGGACAAATTCTGTAATTGATGCACGCTCACTTATGGATCCCATAGTTGAACTAAACTTATAGATAGAAAATTAATTGGAAGTACAAAATAAAAGAATGATTATAAAATATATAGGCCCACCATTGGTGGAAGGAAGCAGAGTGTATGAATTTACAATAAAATAGCTAGGTCTACCATTGGTGGAAGGATGGGGAGAGCAATATGGCATTCACTTATTAACAGATTTCAACTACCCCCTGAACTTCTAAACTTTCCAACATCCTGGTGTATTATATATCTCTCTTGTGCATGCCAATCTTTGTAGCTAATATTTGGAGAACATAATGAAGAATATTTTGTGGGACACGGTTTCTACAGTCCACGTAGAAATGAGTCAGCCTCATAAAAATCTATTTTTGAGATGGAGTTTTGGGCCTAATTTTTTAAGGACATATAATCTCTACCATGGAGATCATGAATATGAAAAAAGAAATTATAAATTATAAATTAAAAATAATATTTTTATTACAAAAACATTTAGACCTTTAATTTTAGTTATGGTTAAATGGATCACATATTCGCTCCCATCTTAAAAAGATGGATGCTTTATACCTCAGGGACCGCAAGCCGCATGAAACAATTTTCCTATTTTGTGAGGGTTTGACGCAAAAAAACTTGGCAGCCAGGGATAAAATTTGTTCACAGAAAGAGGATGGTGCTTAAGAAAGACAACAATAATGAATGTTGCTCTTTTGACCAAATGGTGGTGGAAGATGACAATACAAGAAAACAATAAAACAAATGCAGTATGGGTGACAACAAGATGGACATCTAATATGAAGAAGCACAAAGAATCAGCATATGTTTCCTTATGGAGAGGGATAATGCGCTGCAGGCCCATTTCCAAGAGAAAGCCCATGTGCTTGATTGGCCAGGGTGAAAGCATTCATTTTTAGCACAAAAAATGGCTAGGAGAAACCCATTGATTTAAAGTTAGATAATTGCATCTCTTCCTAAAACTATACAGCCAGATACTAAAGAGACTTCGTCTTTAGTAGCGCATATAACACAAATTGGAATATACTATGCAGATATGCTAGGCTCTAGGATAATCTCATTGAACTGTTGATTCAATTATTGAATGAGTTACAAGAGGTCTTCTATTATTCCAACAAATTGGATGAGAAAAACACAAGTGATGGACACTTACGTTAAATATCTTATGGGATATTGTTTCATGACAAAATCAGATGTGGTGATAAATAAGCGGCAAAATTATGGACTTAGCCTATACCTCTCAAATATTTTTGTGGTTGCCTGTGACAGAAAGGCAACTAACTCAGGCAGAGGGGCGAAATTATGGTGAATATGTGCATCATGTGTAAGAAAGATGAAGAAAATCCAAATGAATTCTTCCTGAAATGGTGTGGGAACTATGGAGTTGGGTTCTGAGAAAAAAGGAGTAAAGCGACGTTTAATAGCTGTGGTCATATGCCTTTACTTTCAATAAATGAAAGAATCTTTTGGAAGATCATGAGTGTACCTATTATTTGGCAGGTAAGGAAAGAAACATGAGAGTTTTCGAAGGGACTGTGGCACCAATTGAGCAATTTAAGGTGCGGATGCTGCTCAGGATAGCAGATTGAGCAAGTCTATGCAAAGAATATTGGGGAGTCAAGTAAGGGGATTTTCATTAACCACCTCGAAGAAGTTGCAAAAATGAACGGCTAGAAGAGAGCCAAGGAGACCTATGTTAGAGACTCCAATACAAGAACAGTTTAAACTAAATTTTGGTCGGAGTTCGCAGGGAAATCTACACCAAGCAGTTATTGGAGGTTTGTTAGGAAATGGAAGTTACACCTTAACATTAAATAAAAAAAAGAAAATAAGGAATTATTATAGCAATTGAGCCAATGCATTCAATTTCTTTCTAATCCGTTCTGCCCTAATTGGAAATTATTCCTTTCTAACCCATTTTTTCCTCCTGGAAAATGATGTCGTAAACTCTCATAAAACAATCACCGCTATTCCACCTCATACACCACTTTCAGATTAATGGGATCTGAAAAATCCTCCATTTGACGTAGGGCATCAAACCAAATGCAAGGAAAAAACAATGAAACTTCACGAGAAGCAAGCGAAATTTTGAAGTCCTTGCTAGTGCACAATGGCCTCTCACTATCCTCAGTCCCCAAAAATCAAAGGGGCATTGTACAAGGTCGTGCCTTTTGAAAGCCAATTGTGTCAAAACACATCTTAAAATAAAAAAAAGCTCCTGATTCCTCGAATCCACCAAAGGGCATCAAAGCATTGGATTCTCCAAGTGGAAACAATCACCTTCTTTACATTTTCATAATCAGTGTCAAAATACATTTCATAATCGATGTTAACATAATAGAAAACCAGTAAGATGGTTTGGAGAGGGAGGTTACCAAGAACACCTCTTGAATGGTTATTGTTGCCTTCTTTGCATTCTTCTTCAGTGCGCACGCACGCACACACACACACACCCACAGAGAGAGAGAGAGAGAGAGATTGTCTTTTCCAAAAAGAAGCCTTACCTAATGAAAATGCCACTTTTCTAATTTGATGCTTATATACATGTAACCTGGATTCTAGCAGAGCATCAGAATTCTCTCATAACCACCTCAAGAACTGATACTAAATGGAGTTCACTGATGTCATAGGATTTAGGAGGATTTTTGAAGTTACTTGCCCCGAATTTTATACATTGGCAAAACTGACAACATGGAAAGAGTATACATTGTTATGCATGAAGTGCAAAGATATGATGCACACACATCAAGCCACACAGGTAGTGATAGACATCATTTGATGCCTGGCACGGTCACTTTCTAAAACATTCCAAATTGATTCAGCTTTTCATGATCCAACAATCAAGAATCTCCTTTCATATTTTCCATTGACCACCACCGCCAAATAAATTATGAACTCAGAGCAATTGAAGTTGATTTATCCCGTAATCTTGCAATCAAATAATAATTTAAACTCTTTGCCATGACAGTCACTTCAATGTCAAACATCTTCAAGAATATTTTCTGCATGTAGACAGGACAATATCAGCCTACAATCATTTAATTTAATTCATAACTATATATTGAAGACACCAACGAAACAAAATTATAAACATATCACTATAACACAACAAACAATGCATGGTTGTGTTGGTGTATGTGGGTGCATGCATGTGTGCCTCTTGGACATCAGATCTTTCGCCCCAACCTTGTCTTTGCCCCCATCCGTGTATCCACTAGTTCAGCTACATTGTGCATTCCGATAGGTAAGTACCAATAATCTGTGAAATACTTATCACTCCTCGTAACCGCTATTTGGAAAAAGCAATTCTTGCAATATTATTGTCCAAAAAAAAAAAATTTACAAGGGTGGATGTCCGAATTGCCAACCTAAAGTGGTTTTTAAGACATGACAACTCTGTACATCATTTAGAGAACGGGTGGGGCCATGGGGATATGAGATTTTCAAAGTAAAATTTGAACAAAAAGGTTTAGTATTACTGTCTAAGTTTCTGAAGCGTTGTACATGCATGTCATGTCCTTGCCATGTCGATGTGTTACAAGAACCTTGGACAACCATGTCCAAATTACATAGCATTATGGAACACACCTAATTACACTAATAGCTATGCTCGACAAGAAAACAGCAAACCGTCTCCATTGGAGGACAACAAACCACTGGCACTACAAATGAAGCGTCCAGGGTTTACTTTATTGTCTGCACCATTTGTTTTGACTTTGACTTGTCCACTTCTTTCTTTTTGGCACATTTGTGTGAATTAACATGCTATGTGTTGGTTGTGTTTAAGCCATGTTTCACGATTCCTACAAATACATTTTTTTGTACTTGCAAAAGTAGTTTTTGGTTATTTTCCTACGTGGTTTTGGTGTTGATGTTAGTGCCACTGTCAAGTTAAGCAACACAAGAGTGGCCTTTAGATCTGTTATTACACAGCCATGCACAGATCTTAGACATATAAACTAACCAACCAAAGGAGTATCTCTCTAGATGTCTTCAATGTTTATGAGCACGAACACCAAACTGGGAGACGCATACTCATTCCACAAAATCTGCTCATCATATGCCTAATGAGTCTGATATTTAGATGCAAAGTTTGTAGCAAGGAATAGAGCAAGGAGATACCAAATTTAAAATGGAATCGCCTACGAGACGCATATGAATTATATCCCTTCAGAGAAGGCCAACAAGGAATATAAATTATAGTTTCTACTGGACATAATCAAATTCTGCAAACAAACTCAGCTGATTACTGGTAGGAATTCAACCTTTTCAGACAATCAACATTCTTTAAGTCATAATGGTATCATCCACCAATGATCACATCCAGAACCCCAGAACAAAGTGTGCTTGAAGAATGTAAGAACCAACATATTATGGAGACAATTCATGGATTACAACTGCAATCCAATGTCCCTGGTGGTTTGTGGACATAAAGTGATCTAGAATGCTGTTTACATTATCAATAGAATTCAAAATTTCATGGTGATATCAACTTGTCAAATGCCTCATTGGTCAAGAACCGGATTATTCAATACTATGAGCAGTATTGAAAGGAATGAACTTGGTGCTGGATCTGTTCAATGTGTTTTTCTGGGATGTAACACCACTCAAAAAGGTTGTCAAATTATAGATTTCTAGACATATTTTTTCCTTTAAAGGGATCTTTTACTTTAACGATTTAAAGGGTGTCCAAACCATGGAACCTTAGTTTCCTAAGTGTCCCACTCCACTTGAGTGCAGTTCTTCTTCTTCACCACTCATAATGTATGCTAAGTGTAATAAGACTCCAGTTGTCCTTCAGAATGTTGACACTCTCCCAGCGGTTGATCCAATCGAGACTATTGAGTAGCTACAACATGTGCCCATTTCCACTCTCTTGACTTTGTTACTATCAAGTCCAGTAGAATTTCTATTCCTCATGTTAAATTATAGTTTTCAGCCCACTCCTTTTTGTCATTCTGCTCTTGTTGGTTCTTTATCTTCTATTTCACCTAGGATTTCTGTCATATTTTCTTGGTTTAGAGATTACAAGGTTGGCTCGAGGGATCATTGTTTATCAGCACAAGTGTGATTGTGATCTTATCTCCCAAGCTAACCTCACTAACTTTAAGATTGCAGATACCACAGTATAACTTAATGTTTGGTTACCCTCATTAGATAATCTATGAGAAAGAAGAGATTAAGGAGATGTTGCTCATAAAATTAAAGCTGGGTGCACGAAGTGAAGATGTGTTTCTAGAGACTTATGTGATCATCACATACCAATGAAACTGAAGGGGAAGTTTTATAGCATGTTTGTAAGACTGGTCATACTTTGTGGGACTGAATGTTGGGTCTAGAAACAATATATCCAGCGAAGGAGTGTAGCTGAGTTGAGGATGTTGAAATGGATGAGCAACAAGACAATGAAAGATAAAATTCAGAGTGAATATATTTGAGGGAACTTAGGAGTAGCTCCAATAGGTGATAAAATAAAGGAAAATAGACGTAGGTAATCTAGTCATATGTAGCATCAACCTATAAACACACCGGTTAGGAGGGCTGATTTGGTTCAAGTGGAACGGTCTAAAAAGATAAAGGATTGGCCCCGAAGGACATAGATGAAAGTAGTAAGAAATGATATGGTGACTTATGACCTAACTGAGGGTATGGTCCTTGATAGAGTGAAATGGCAGAACAAGATTCGTGTAGCTGATCCCAAATGGTTGGGATATGGCTTGGATGATGATGATGATCTTCATTCTATAGGGACCCACTATCTGATCCAGTTCTATACTAGCAATTAGTTTGTGGACTACAATATCACACTATCAGGCCAAGTATCAATAATGCAGTTCATTCCACTAGTTAGTTCATTCAGCTCCTTGCGCAATTCATATCATTAAATATATTTGTTCCACACATGATCATGGTCTCTTTTTTTTAGCATCCTCTGATCTTTGGCCTATTGCATTTGCTGGACTTAGACTGGGAAGTTGTCCACTCACTCGCAAATTGACTTCTTTGATAAGGTATTTTTCTTGTTGATTCACTTTTTTCTTAGTGGTGCAAGAAACAAGATTTGGTTTCCAAATCAAAAAGTATATTGCTTGCTTTCATCTCTAATGGGATTCTCTGTATCCACAAGCTTCTCTATGATTTAGGGGCCCCTACTTCATCGAGTACACCTCTCCATGGGGACAATATCAGTGATCAGGATTGCCACCAATCCTTTATTTCATGACTAAACATATTGAGGTTGATTGTCATTGTATTCAAGAAAGATTGCCCGTGGACTACTTACTCTCTTATATATTTTAGGATCACATAGATGACTTATTTACCAAGGTTATTACTAAACATTGACATGATTATCTTGTGAGCAAAGTGCCACTCATTTCTACTGAACCCTAGTTTGAGGGGGGATGTTAAGATGTATATTGGTCCTATAATTTAGTTTGTGTAACTTTTTTTTTTTGTAATTATTTTAGATTGTGTAACTCGTTAATTAGTTTGAGGGTACCCTAGTCATAGCATAGAGATATTGTACAACCTAGTCATCTGTGTATATGGGATTAATCTCCTTCCAATCAATAAGAGTTCTACCCAAGTTTATCTTATTCTAACAGTTTTCACCTCAACACATAATGAAATCCCATAATAGGCTAATTTAGCTTCTCAGTTAAATAAATCGAGGACATCAACGTTATTTACCATTAAAGATATACCCGCCATTACATATCAGAGGACATACTAGATAAGACAAAAAGAACCATAGGGTAAGAGAAAGCATACGTATACCATGAAACCTGTAATCAAAGTCAACAACTAGTAGCATATGAGGGATTTCGAGGAAAAAATGGATGCAAGTAAAGAGATAAAGGAAAGGAAATGAAAAAAACCTTTCAAACTAGGTAAAGTCTTGAAAAATGGAAGGTTAGAAGGGACACTGACTGAAAAGAATAAGTATATTGCTCAAGTAAGAAGTGTCGTATTTGCAGTGCTACCTGGCCATTAATGCCATGCTAAGACAAAGCAAGGAGAGAATTTCAAACTGGAAAAGTAGTCTCTTCATGAGAGTAAAACTTGTCAGGTGCCTTACGGACAAAAATAAAATATATAATGAAGATAAATTTCCTATATTTCTAGGGGTCCATCTTAGACACCATGGGATCAAGAACAAGGACAAGATGCATAAAGACCTGCCCAACTTTCAATTTCACAAACTTCTAGTCCATCTAACATTTTCATAACCTAGAGTGAAACAAATTTTTAGCCAAATATTTCCAGAAACAGCCTTGAGGCCATGGAATTCCGATTCAATGACACAATACGAAGCTGTCTAAATAGGAAGGAGGTCACAATTTCCAATAAATCAAGCACATTCTGTGTTGTAACTGTGCTAGAAGCTACGTGCATTTGAAACTAAATATCTATAAGAAAGTGCCATTTTGGCTTTAAACTATAGAATAACAACCTTGAAAGGAATAATATATAAAGTTTATAAACAAAGAATATCATTCAAAGCCTAATGTTTTAGTGGATACACATTGACCAAGCGTTCCCAAAATTCGGATTGAAGTTATTCTCTTACAAATTTCGGAAAACGATTCCTGAAGATTAGCTCTTCTTCTCAACTATGAAACTGAAGAAGGTGGAAGGCATAAGCACTAGTTATAACGGAATTACCAGTTCATATAAGATATGGGTATAGTTTGATTACTATCAAACTCTTAATTATATATCAGGATATCCCTTCTACAGTTCTAATTCAATTGTAATGGATAACAAGTGACGTGCTTCCATTCTTTCAGTTGTTTCAAATCCTAGTTCATCCCAGGGTTTTATGTGCCAAAAGCAGCCCACTAGCATGTGGTGAACCATGAAACTGCTAGCTTCCTTCAGTGATCCTCCAAAGCTTGGAGCTACCACCTTAGTTAGCAGCTATCTTCAAAAACCAAAAAAATGACAACACTACATGCATAATTTTCACGTCCCCTGTGCCCTGTGCATCTTGTGATCA